TATGGTTGTTTTCGACAGAAGAAATAACATGACACTAGTCATATGAAAATCTGCAGTCCATGTTGACTCTTTTCCGTTGTTTTGAATTCTCTCACTGCATTTCATTACGAATTAAATTACAATTTACCAAGAAATATTTATTAAGGAATTGATCTGTCTCATTTTTGATTATTTCACAGTATGAAAGAGTTTTTTTTAGAGGGTTTTGGTGATAAAGAAAATGATCTGTCTAATATGCGGCATGGTAACCCGTTTTAATCCCGCTTTTGACAGATCCTCTACATGATATTGAGGTATATGTGTGGTTTTTTGACATCTGAAAGGGTGTTGCAAAAGATTTTGCTTACTTTATGCATACTTCAAACATGAAATGTTTCCCATAGTTCAGAGCACCGTTTGGCACAAAAGTAGAATGCTTTGTGTTGAACTTTATTCTAGAGTTGTAGAAGAAGCTAATCTTTATCTTTCAGTCGGTACCAAAATTGTTCATGGGCGATCTTAATCTGATACCCTTATGCGGTGATGGATTCGGGATGTTAATATATGCCATTAAAGCATGGGATGCTGATGGGCTGTGAATGGAATGATTTGCTTTGGATGTTTGTGGATCAGAGAATGCAGTATCAGGTAGAGACTGATCCTCATCACTTGACAAAAATTTCTAAAGAAATTACAATGTTTTCTAGAGGTATTGAGATGTCCAAGAATAATTCATGAAAATAACGTTATAGGAGTCTGAAAGCCTCTAAGATACTTTTGATATAGGTTGACTTGTTTGTGAATAAATCGAAAGACCTCATGAGACTGCATACCCGAATATGCTCGCAATATCTCAGATAACTTAAGGATTATGTAATGGCTTGTTTTACTTTTCTACAGTGTGCTTTCTTGTCCACTACACACCAGATGATACGGTCTTTCTAAAAAAAGCTTTCAGCAATATATCGTACCAGCGCATTATGGTCGTTATCACACAAAAAATAACGTCAATTCATCTAATTTTCCTGAACAATAATTTCTGAAGGCGTTTGATAATAAATCAGGATTTTTGAAATAATTCTCGAACTTTTTCATTGACGTTAAATTTTGGGACATTATGACGTTACGGTTATCCATCATATTTAATTTGTATTTCTAAAATTCTAATTTATTCTATGTTTCACCTTTCGAAAATAAAGAAATACAATATACTACTATTTTCTTCTTTCATCGAAGGTACAGAAATCTATCTGATCCATGTATAACCAATATTTGTTTTAGATTTTCAAAAACTCTTCATCTATCTCAGATTATAAATGAACAACAGCACATGTCTGACGAAATAGATCCTAACTTTAACGTATGTGTTTGAAGATACTCAAAATAACTTCTTAACTTGTTCTCTGTGTATTGTTAGGTACCGATCGATGAAAGTGGTGGATTTATTGTAGACAATAACGATTTACTTGATAAGAAATATAAATGTATATTTTGTAAATATTTAATTAGGCAGTACAACTGACGTGTGGTGATCGTGCCTGTTCATCATGTGCTCTATTAAAACTCAGGCATGTAAGTTGAACGTCTAGATAAAAACTAATATTCCCCACTGTATCTACAGTAATCCGAAAACATTCTGTAGCGAGGATAATATCATGTGATTTACTGTTTTTTAGAAATGTTGAATCAAGCATCTGTCCCGAATGTAATGAGACGATATCCAACATTGTAAGATGAGCGTAGTGCGTTAATAGAAATAATTATACTATTTCACACATAAACAGGCATTATTTTTCTCTTCATATTCCAAAAAGCTAGATATAATGGTTCAATCATCTTCTATTTCTAGATCATCACCGATGTTGCATTTAAGAAAGAAATGGAAAAATTACAAGTTACCTGCGTTAGAAAACCGAAGAATTGTCCATGGCATGGGGCGCTAAAGGACTACCGGGTATAATTTTATGTTGAAGCAGAATATTGTTATAGAGTGTAGGAAGAGAAAAATCACTAGATAGACTCTGATTTCAAAGTTTTATTCGGTTATGCTTCTTATATGAACTGTCTATGAAAAGGCTAATAAATCGCATTACTAACTTGGTTGATTTAACTGCTCCACTCTCCATGCTAAAACGCCAGTATCACCTATTGACACAGTGTCCTGTATCTGTTTACTCTTTTTTTATTGCTCTCAATCTAATCTCTCTTCTTCTTTCTCTAAGTCCAATGTTTTTTCTTTTCTTTTGTTTACGGTGATGTTCGTTTTTGTTCTGTTTAAAGATTCCTTTCCGGAGATGTAATGTAGTCCTTAGGACGACGATTTCACCTATTGGTTTTCTTTTCTTCTTCATTCTGATTTCTTTAAATAAATAGCTTAAATCAAATAATCATAGCATAGAGGCAGAAGAGATATTACAGTCCAACCTAAAATCCAGACCAGTTTTAATCTGAGTTAGTATAACTTCAGATCGAGATGATTGCACATACCGATCTCAAATCTGGCTAGTCCGACCTACATCGGACTGCTCAAGTCAATTGTTGTGACCTGTCGTTCCCGGCAACTCGTAAGATTATGCTCTTGTACCATCCTTGCGCAATTCGGTTCCTGCCCAACTCTTGTTTCATCTTTCCGTTCTCCCAACTCTTTCTGTTCTTGCGCAATCCCTGCGCAACTCTTGC